CTGATGGACATATTTCAATGAAGGCTCAACAAGAGTTGCAAAGATTTCTATTGAGCTTACAAAAGAGATAATGTTTCTAAAACATTTTTCTTTTATTGAAAACATGATACTTTAATGTGCATCAAAACTAATCAATATTTTTTGAGAAATATTTGGGAAGACAAAAGGGTTGGTTTGTTATTTTCACACTTTGGTGAAATGCAAAGTCTTTAATGGTTACTAAAGGTTTTGCATTGTGACTTTTTATTCTGGATAGAACCTTAGAACTCTTAAAATTCTTTTAGGGTCTTAAAAATGGTTGTAGCTCTAAACTGCCCTTTTTAAGTTTTTACCTTAGAGCTATATTTTCTAACAATGAAAAACTTGGTAAAATCTTGCCAAATAACAAGTATAAACAAAGTTTCAAGGGCATAGCTCTTTAACTCAACTATCCATATTATATTAGAATAGACTTTTCAAGATACATAATATACGTCAAGGTTCGAGGTTCTAAAAGAATGGATAAATAGGCTCAAAATATATCATTTATGATAATTAAGCCAAGGATCTTACGAAACATTTTCTAGACAAAAAGTCATGTGTTTGTCTTTCTTTACTTTTTTTTTTAATTTTTTTGGGAAAATTTGATTTCGTCTTTAACAATCAACTTCTTGAGTTCTATTTTCCTGAAGCTTCATTCACTTTTTGACTCAGACTCTCATCTTCAAGGTGTATTTTTTCTTCTTTTTCTCTTTTTTTTGAAGACATTTGACTTCATCTTTAGTAATCAATTCCTTGAATTCTATTTTTCTAAAGCTTCATTCACTTTTTGCCTTGAGCTTTCATTTTTAAAGTGCATTTCTTTTTTTCTTTGCTTTCTCCTCACTTTTTTTTTTTACTTCATCTTTAGTAATCAACTTTCTTGAATTCTTGGGATTCCAACTGAAGTCACATTCACTTTTTACCTCGAACTCACATCTTCGAGGTGCATGTTAGATGTTCTCAATATCAGATACTTTTTTCATAATTAGGCTTTTAAAGATATCGTTATTTTGCCCCCAATATAAAAAAATGATCTTTGATCGGGGTTTATTTTGAAAACAATAAATTTATTAGGCTTAAATGGATAGCAAGTGGATAATTTTACTGTAAGCGAAGGATAAACGAAGTTGACCATTCATCATTTCAAATATGATTACTTAATTAGAAGAACAATGTATTTAAAGAAATAGATAAAAAGCTTCTTCTTGTTTTTTTTTTCATTTTCATCGTTTTTTATCTTTTTTGTTTTTTTTTTGTTACAACCATTAATCATTTTTGCGTGACTGATGCCCCATCTTGTTTTTTTCATCAAGGTTTTTATCAGGTTATATGGGACATCTAAAATTTGATTGTACTGTTCATAAAAAGGTTCATTTTGGTTACAAATTGTCTGACATTTTAGTAAAATGAGGGAAAAATGTATTAAGGTATGAAACAAATTGTCTTAGGTAAGAAAAAAGTTTTCTTCTTTTAGTCAATGTGCCTTAAAACATGAAACAATGGTTACATGAGAAAGAAAGTTAAAGCATTTTTTGTGTTTATGTCATCGAAAGAATTTGAATGGTTCAATCATATTGGCAAGATTTTATACACATTGAATTATCAATTAAAAATTTAAAAGCGTATCTTGCTTGATTTTCAAAATTTAAAATGAATTTTCAAAATTGGCTTATTTTGTTCATTACCCAAGAAAAGATCATGGTTTCAATATATCAAATGATAACAAGGTTCGTATGTGAAAATTCATATCCCTTAAAGAATTATAACTAGTGAGTAAAATTATTAAAAATGATTGAAATATATGAGTGGTTAAGGAAAAAATGTAATGATATTGGATGAATTTTTTTTTTATATTAATCACCAATTATTTCAAGATTCGTGCCATAAAATATTGTAAATTTCCCTTTGAAAAAACCTATATATTTTTTTATTTGATCTTGAAAACTACTTATATGGGACTTTATTGTAAATCATTTTTTTTACGAAGTGCTTTTCATTTTATGATTTTGAAAATTAATTATGTGAGATTATTATTCAAACAAATGCTTAGAGATAAATTTCATAAAAAAATCGAAAGCATTCATTTCTTCCAAAATAAAATTTAACAAGATTAATTTAAATAAGACCTAAAGACACCATGCAAATGTCATACACAAAAGGTTAAAGGTTCAAAAGAAAATTGTTTTATCTTAATCTTTCAAACTTGAAACATTTTTTCACATTTCAACTTTTCACATTTTGTAACTGGACAGAGTCAACTTTCATTGTTTCATCAGTTCTAAAGCCAGAATACCATTATTGATAAGATTTTTAACTTTTTTTTTAGTTGTCTATATTTTTTAGTTGAATGACCAATTGCCCCTATATGATAATCACATTTACAATTAGAATTATAACTCATCATCGATGGATTAGGTGTTATTTTCAGAGGCATAGAAGTGAAGTATTAGCCTTTTATTAGCAAAAGCAAAAGGTGAGAAATAAGGATTGCAAGTTTCTTTTGGTTATTTCTTTTTTTTTTTTTGTTGATCAGGTAGTAGGCTCAAATGTATGGACAAGATTGTAAATGGTCATTTGGGAATGGGGACTTACTAGAAAACTTAGATATTGGCTTGGTTGGTAAAGATATGGGCTTTAAGAGATATTGCTTATGACCAAGAAGTAGGGTTAATGAAAAAGATAAAAATTGCATGGGATGAAGTTTTTACTAATCGGTAATAAAAGCTCCCAAATCCATGTAATAAAGGCTTCCTTGCTAAAAGAAATGCACACTAATCAATTTGTGCCTTTGTTAGAATAAAAAATGATTTAACTATTAAATTTTTCTTATCTAATCAGTAATGAATATACTAGTGTAATCAAGTGATTAATGCAACTCGATTATTTTGTTATCCAAATTGTTTAATGGTTGATGTAACTCAACTATTTTATCATCTAAATTGTTCTACAAATGTCAAAAGGGATATATTTGTGCATTAGTGTCACTCTTTAAGGAATATGAGTTATACAAAAAAATACAGGATTTGTATTTCTAAGAAGATTAAAAATTTTGAAAAATATAGATTCGTATGCCAAATAAATATGTAATATTTCAACAATACTTACAAAAGTATGTTTTCGAAAATTATCTAAATACACAAAAGTTCATTTTTGAAAATTGTCTAATATATGAATGTTCATTTTAGGAAATTACTAAAATATACAGAAAATACATATCCATTTTGTACATTTTTTTTCAAAAATTTCACCTAAAATATATAAATACAAGAATGCTTAGTCATTTTTCGCAATGATTTTCATGTAATTTTTTCTCTCATTCTAACTCTATTTTTGACGTCCTCTAACACTAAAAAGAGATCGAGTCCAGTTTAAATGGTTTAAGCAATTGCGACAATAAAGAAGGCAAGGTAAATAGGTGTGGTTGAGGGTTACAAATAATTTCATTAAGAATAATAAAGTAATTCACTAAAATGATAATTTTGTAATAAATAAAATTATAAATTTTTTGTTGCAATGAACAAAAAATGTAGTTGCAAATAGAATTTCTTTTTTCCCACTAACTAAACGTCAATCGACCATGAAAAATGGCTGAATTCAACCCTCAATGTTGACTTTGGTTGTTAGAGCCGAAATAAACCCTTGTGTTGTAAGATCTACTTACGATGAGCTAGATTTGGCTTCTATCAATAATTGATGAATGCAAGTGAAAGATAATCTAACCCTTCCTAAGGTCGAACCAATGATAAGGCGCCCAAACCAACTTCCTCTGACACTAAACTCAACACCTTATATTTTTTCTTTCTCCTTATTTTCTCTTTCTAAAATATCATTTTCTCTTTTTCTTAATTAAAAAACTATTTTAACCATTAAAAATACTCTCAAAACTTGTATAAAATACTCAAATCCTATTAAAATAAAACTTTTAAATTTGAAATTATCCAAAACTATTTGAATAATACTCTCATATCCTAAACGAAATTAGAAAATTTTCTAAAAGATTTTTTTTGATATAAATAAGCTAACATAAATTTACATGTATCATCACTTTGCATTTAATGCAAAGATAATGGCAACATGGACATAAAGAATATTTTGTTACAACATTTTGAAGTGTTGATATCGGTAAGTTATTCTTTTAAATTTTAGGGACCAAAATGATATGTTCATCAAAATTTGAGACCTACGAGTGCTATTTACTCTAAATATATTATTTCATGAGATATTAAAAACTAGAAATTTGACTAAATTAATAAATTTTTTGTATCGAATATTAAAACTCTCGAACTTGATTCAATTCGTTTATTTAATAATTTGAGCTTAACTTCAGTTCTATAACAAATGAATTAGATTTAAGTATTCATTAAATAAAACTCAAATAACTTACACAAGTAACTTAGATTTGTCACACCTGTATATAAATATAATAATGGAGAAGGGGTAAATATGGTAATGGGTCTAGTCAGGGTAGATTTTTTTTTGTCTCAACTTTGACTTGATTTTTAAAAAAATTACATGTGACTTCAACTTGATTTTAAAAAAGATTATATAACTTCAACTTGATTCAATATTGGTTCATTATTTTTTATATTCGACTCGGACTCAATACGTATATATAAAATTTGCATTTGATTTGTTTTTCAATTCGAAATTAATTTAAATGCTTTAATTTATTATTATATTTATAAAATATTATTTTTTAAAATAAATTATATCTTAATTATTTATAAATATAATATTTTTATTAAATTAATATTTTAAATTAAAATATTAAAAAATAATTTTATTAATATATATACACATATATAAATATAAATATAAATAAATAATAACATATAGTTTTAATATCTTGAGACAAATTAAGATAAAATATTTTAAAATCCGGCTTTGATCTTATTTCAACTTAAAAAACTTAATAAAAAAAAAATAAATCCATCTTCGACTTGATTTTTTATTTAAAAAAATTCATTAAAAAAAAAAAATCAAAATCGATCAAATAGGGACAGATGAGCGGAAAAACCGATGTCACGGGAGAAACTCATGTTACTCATCTCATGTATCTTTTATCCCTTTCCACATGAATGCAATACTAGAAGCAAATAAGACATACCGATGTGGATCCGGCCCATATCCAAAGCTGGTCTCCAACATTGTCCCTTAATTCTACAGTTACCTCCAAACCTAGGACACAATAACATGACTCCCAAGGCGAGGAGCAGCGCAATGGAGGCTGCGGGCTTCGATTCCGATGGCAGAGAATTCAAGAACGCACAAGAAATGTGGAGAGAGCAAATTGGAGACGAAGGAGATGCGCCTAAGAAGACTCAGTGGTACCGTGAAGGCGTTGCCTACTGGGAAGTAAGTGCCCCTTAACTTTGGGTCTTATATTTGTGTGTGGGTACTAAACTCTTATATAATTATTGGTTTATTTGGTTATGGTGAGAGAAGGGTGTGGAAGCGTCTGTAGATGGGGTATTGGGTGGATTTGGTCAAGTAAATGATGCTGATATTAATGGCAGTGAGGCTTTTCTCAATACCCTTTTGCATGAGAGATTCCATGGTGGTGGAAGCAATCAGCATCTTGTTGCTCTTGGTACTTCGCTTTCTCTTCACCTTTCTGTTCACCAGACCTTTATGGTTTTTACTTTTAATGAATTTGCATAGCTACTTGTGTGCTCTTGAGGTAGTTTGGCTTTTGTTATTTTCTCCAGTGAGAGTAATCCTTGAGTTATTATGTGCCATTAAATGTGCAAGTGCAAAGCTGCTAATGGGATCCTAATATGTTAGAATGTAGCATTGGTTGAAATCATGAGTTCAACATCAGCAATTAGTGGCTGAAACCAGAAACCAAAATGACTTGAGAATACAACCGTGAAAACTTATGCCCAATAATCCCAACCCTTAAAAGAAAAAAAAAAGGAGAAGAAAATAAATAAGTGAAAGGCATGGAAATTCGCATAATTATGCATTGTCTTAATTATTTGCATGATCTGTTCACCAAAATGAAGCCTCAATTTTTAGTGCAAGAATCATGTCATGCCTTGTAAAATTTCATTTTGTTTAGAATGCCTTATTGTTACATGCTATTTTGCTAAAAAAAGCCATCTTTAAGCATCATTCTTTTTTAGATTTGAGAAGAAGCTTGCTGAGAGTTCAGGGTTGTTTGTGTTTGTGGAGTTTGGGGATGGGGCAAAAGTGACCCAATTTGAGGCTCTGTTTTGAGCACTCATAATAAAGGAAATTAAATTTCTGTGTTGAGATTGAAAAATTACTTTCACAATAAAGTAACAGTGAAGTTGCTATGTCTTGCTAATATTCTGCAATTTGTTACCTTTAAGAAGTAAAAGGAAGGTAGTTATGGTCTTCAATATGTTTTATTATCACAAGGAGATTGATTCTTCAACATTTAGTTTGTGGATCTACAATTGGCTAAAATGGAGTTGGTTTGACTACTTGTAAGTTGTTGGTCTATACCAGGGCAGTTGACTAAAATCTTGCAATGGGGACTTTTAAGAGAAATTATTTAGGAAACTAAGCAGTAGGGGTTTGGGTTCAATTTGAAGATATTTAGATAACTAAGCAGTAGTGGTTTGGCTTTAATATGGAGGTAATTAAGTTATTTGCACAACTTTTATTATAAATAACATTATACTAGATGCAGTTAAGCACTTGGCACAAATAACTGCATGTTTCCCCTACTCAAAGAGTCAGTTTAAACCCTCCTCCCAAAATTAAGATAAAAAAATGATAATAGATGGTTGTTCCCTCAAAATTTTGCCTTGGTCTGGTTTATGTTACTGGAATTAAAGGAAATAGTGATCTTAGTGCAATCTGGTACACCTTAGGGCTTAGAATACTAATTCTAAATTAAACTATGTTATTATTCTCTAAAACACTGCATTATTAACCTTTTCTTTTAAGTCTATCCATGAAAGCATTAGCAATACCTGCAAATGGTCTAAAGCTTACTTAAAATATTGTTAGTATCTAGTCTGTTAGATGTTTCATTTTTTTCTTCTTGATGTTTTTAATTCTAATTGACAATCCTAAACCTGTTCGACATTCTAAGCTCTTAGTTTCCATGGTAATTAAAAATACTGCAGATTGTGGTTCTGGCATAGGGAGAATAACCAAGAATCTTCTCATAAGGTATTTTAACGAGGTAAGGTTATTTTTCTCTTTTTGATAGTATATTTTTAGTGTTGTCGACATTTACTGTCTTTGCAGTTAAATTATTGCATGATTCACAATTCATACTTTGTGCTACCTAAAGAATCTCTCTGTTGTGTTTGAATGGAAAACAAAAATGTTGGTGGTGTGGTGCCTTTTAAAATATTCATGCGTGATGTGATGAGTTATTCATATATCATTCCAATAGCTAACTTGGTAACACAGGTTAAGAGACACTAACTGAATTGGTGAAATTATAAAAAAGCTGAATAAAATAATTAAAAAAACACATAAAAATAGTCATACACTGGTAGCTTACCTTTCCTACAAATAGAATTGGGACCTCGCATCTTCTATATCCACTTTAATGATTTATTCAATTTAAACTTATTTTGGGTATATATATATTTTTGTCTCCCCTAAATAACTATACATTTAATTATTCTTACTTTTTTAGGTTTATAGATAACACAAGAGGACATTAAATACTAACTTTTATATCTTCTCTTCTTATGAAATTTATAAACAGTAAAACTATTTTTTTTCATTAATTCACCCATATAGTGGGTGTGCATAGGACTAGTACTCTTGAAGACACTTTTTTGAGTGTTGAGAATGCTGCCACAATGTCTGTTATCTGTATTTTTTTTCTAATCCTAGTCATTTGATTTCAAAAGGTGGAATGCATGTTAAACGAAAGATTTCCACTTTGAGATATCCCAATTGTATGAAAGGTTATATTAAACTTTAAAGACTCTAATTTTGGATCACCACGTTGTTTATCACATTTCTAACTATCTTCCTCTAGCTGGATATCTATGTCTTTTATAGTCTTTATCACAAAGAGTATATAGCTCATCAATGATGTTGCAAGCATCTTTTAACACACAAAATGAGCCTAATAGGTGTCGAACATCTTCATTCTAGAAATTTCATAGGAAAACCAATTTCTTAAAAGGAGTTGTGCTAAATGAGACTATTTTCTTATGTGCTGTTAGATCAACCTTCTAGCGTCTTAGCGGCAACTAGACTTGGCCAGCTAACAGATTTACCTGGGCTTGGGTTGCAGTTAACCATGTAACTCAGACTCAACATACTGTCTAAATATTTGTCATAGACTGGCTTTGTAAATTATGCTATTCCTTAAGGCACCATCCACAAATTTTTTTAGGTTTTAAATATTTTATGTTTTGAAATGAAATTGTTAAAAGGAGTTGTGCCTTGTACGTTTCCCATCCATCCTGTTCCACTTTGGCTTGTGCTGCTTAGCCTATGAACATGGTCTACTTGCAAAATAATATTTGGATGACTTTTTATGCTTCTTCATCTTCCTTCTTTTCGATATCTTAAGTCATGTTAGGCTCCTTTAACCATCTTTTTTTGGAATATTGCCTATTTAGTTAGTTTGTGAAATATTCCAGCATAATATATTTTTTCATCAAAATCATGAGCTAGAGATTAAATATTTAAAAATATTTTACTTTTAGTATTTACTTGTCATGTGCATTGTGCAATGTATCCTGTGTGCTTAAATATTTATTCAAGCACCCATTTTATTGATTGTCATATTCTACTGAAATATTAATAGTTACAACTTTCATCAAAAGACACATTTAAACATTAAAATGTTGCTGAGATTTTGGTATTTAAAATTTTGGTATCAATAGGACCATCCTTGGATAAGTGGTGAGGTCCTATATAATTCTTATTTGCAAAGAATTGGGGGTAGAGGGATAAAAACTGCCAAATTGAGACAGTAAAATGATCAAATTCAGAGTTTGACCAAAACTATTACATTAAGTTGGTTTTGGCTATTGTCAAAAATTTGTATTTCTGCTCTGTATTGCATCATGGCAGTTTGTGCCCTTTGTGATTGTTAATGCTTAATAGTAGCCCTTGTTTTAGTTTTTAATTTCCATGTTTAACATGATGATTGGTCTCTTCATTTTTTTTCCTCCCTTTTTATTTCATGGAATGGTATGAATCAGTTTTGCATTATTTAATTGGGAGCTATGATCTTATGAATCTCTACTTTGTGATAGCTATGCTTTCTAACCTATCTTCCTTGTACCACATTTCAGGTTGATCTTCTTGAGCCAGTGTCACATTTCTTAGATGCTGCCCGTGAAAGTTTGTCTCAGGAATATTTTGTAGCCTCTGACGTGCACAAGGCAACTAATTTCTACTGTGCCTCCCTTCAAGTAATGTATTTCAAGACTATATTCATACGCAGATACCTGCTTGTTGATGTGTCAAAGTATTCATAACTATGGTTAAGTCGATGCAAGCCATGCATTCCCAACTTTTCCCTTTACCCTAAGTTATGGATGTCAGCCATGTTGCAGAATGGTGTTTGGGTACGATCCTAGGAAAAACTTACAACAGATGTCAAATGTGGGTTTGCATCTGACACCTGCATCTTGTTAGTATAATCTTTTGGTGCCTTTAGTCATGAATCTTGATTTGTGTAGTCTAGAAGAATTAATACCACTGATATTTTTGGGATGCAGGGGGGGAAGGAGTTTGGCACGTAAAGCTTGATGTGAAACCTAAATGATTAGATGACCTATGGATTCATGTAAAATTTTTGCAAGCAATCATCTATTCTTTCTTTTTTCTGGGGGGGGTGGGGCGTGGGGTTGTGTGTGGGTGGGGTTGCTGTGGATCAGTTAGTGAATGAGCCCCCGAATTCTTACAGTGATCATATGCTTTGTGAATACAAATTGATGATGCATGTGCTTGCCTTATTCAGATGCTTCTTGCTGGTTAAATTTTGCTGATAAAAGAGAAATTTGATTACCATTTTTTTTGTCTTTCGCTTTTTTAGGAATTCACCCCTGATGCTGGAAGGTACAATGTTATTTGGATTCAGTGGTGCATTGGTCATCTGACTGATGATGACTTTGTCTCATTTTTTGAGAGAGCAAAGGTGAATGACTCTTCTTCTTGAGACCTCTTACTTTTTATGTGACATGTTCTGCTGTGTGGAAATGCATGGAAAGCACAAAAAGCATCAACATTTTCTGGCTGTTGTCTGCTCTACATTTGAAGTGGCTTGTTTCTGATTTTTGAATTATTAGCCGTTGGATCGATGCAGTGCTTTCTTTTGATACCTCAAATTTTCCTTGTCCAAATTTATTGCTTCTGGCTTTCTGTCTTGTACCTTCTCTTAAACCTTTTCACAGCTATAGGATTTAACGTTGTCTAGGAAATGAAACATAGCAAACACCAGAAGTACAATGTAGTCAAACTCAAATTTCTTTTTGTCCTTTTCTTTTGTGTTATGTCATGTTGTCGACCATTTTATTCTTTTTCTTGGTAAGTATTAGCAGATTTGATGGGTTGGTCAGAGTGTTTGCCACATAAACAAGGCTTGAGAATACTTTATAATTCATACAAGTATTTTGCTTTTTCTCACCTTACAAAGGGTTTTAACAAAAATTTGGTGTGCCTTGTGCATTGAAATAAGTTTAAGAATCATACTTTGATTTTTAACTGTTAGATTTGTAAATGGTGGGAAATGGAATTAAATCTAAAAAATGTTAAATTCATTTTCACGCCAGTTTGTCTCCGTACCCTCCTTTTTCCTTGGCTGCATCATTTTTTCTTAGGTTCTGTTGAGCATAACCTTTTATGCTGCCTTCAATTGATTTTCAATGTGTATGTGTATTTAGAGGCCTGGTGTCATAGTTGCGTCCTTGAAAGACCCTTGTTGAAAATTATTATTCTTGTATATATGAATTGAAAGATTCTAATTTGTATTTTAATTTGATATACTGATTAATATCTTGATTCCAGGTAGGCCTTAAACCTGGTGGATTCTTTGTCCTGAAAGAGAACATTGCTAGAAATGGTATCATATTTATGACTCTTTTGTTTTTATAAGTATGCTTGATTTCCCACCTCCCTCCGTCCCCTTTCTGTGAAGTGCTCATTTTTTTGTTTATGCATTCCTAAAACTTTTATATGTTTTGGTATTCTGCTGTAAAATTTATATATTTGCTTTCTTGAGCTGGTATTATTTTTTTAACTTTGTATTCATCTGCCTCTGCAGCTTTGAAGTAACCATAATACTTAATGTTATAAATAATAGATGTTTAATCAAAGCAATAAAGGGATAATGGAATATTTATGCTCCATTATCTCGTGTCATTGCTTGATACCAAGGGAAACAGCCAAGAGTATTGAAACCTACAATTTGTAGGTGCAGGGATGAGTATCATCCTCTCTAATGGATATGTATGGGTAGTCATTTTTTATGCTACAAATGTGGGACACCTTTAGTCAACAATGTCTATTTAAAACTTTATTGGTGAAAATTGATGGCATCTAGAGGTGGAAGAAAGATGACCTAGCCTAACAATTGAACTTGCCTAAAGTCCGACTTAAACTAGGAGTCAAGTCTCATAAGTTGCTTGGGTTTGACTCACAAAATACTTGGCTTCTGTCAATTTATTGTGGAGTTATTCTTAAGCTCAAGTAAACAACTGAGTCTAGTTCTAGTGTATTTTAATAATCAGCCCAGATGGCTCAAGAGCCTAATTAACGTTTGACTTTTTAATAAATTTTAATTTTCTGATGTATATAATACTCTTAAAAAAACTAAATAATTTAAAGCTCAATCAAGTCTACCTTGAAGGTCTCAGACATACGTACCCCCTGTCCCCCCCCCCCCCCCCTAAAACAAAAAAAAAAAGGTTCAAGATTGGGTTTCTGGCTTTGAATTTTGTAATTGAATTGAGTGCAAGCTTGTCCTGCCTTCAACTTGACTTGGCTCAATTGTACATCTAGACTTTAACCAACTCTGACCAAAAAATTTAATGAATTGAATGTTGAGACTAGAACAGTTAAAATTCAAAATAATTCAGAATGCTAAATATCCAAACCCAACAACTTAGGATCTGAACAACCTAGAACTTTGTTGACCCAAAACTTGAAGATCCCATAACTGTATTGATTTGGAACTTCAAACAACCCTAGGAAAATTAAACTAAAATTGGCTTGAAACATGGAACATTTTGATACTCTAATCTGGACATCATTTTCCTTTTGTTTTTCTTTTAATGTGTAATTTGTTTGCAGAAAAGGCAATAATAATTGTTCACCACTCTGGTATAACCCTACAAAACGACATTAAATGTAACGAATTTTATCGTCTTGTTTGTAGGTTTTGCATTAAGATTATTAATTTCAAAAACTTTGAAATTTGTCATCCTAAATATCATGTGAAGAACTAAAATTTTGTTTGTGTAATACCATGTAATCTTCTTGGAGCTATCCTACAATATTAGATGCCAAAAGTGAAGTAGCAAAATTAAAAAAAATGTTTAATGTTTTGTATAAATAATCATAATGGTTCAAAGTACATAAGAGCAATCTGAGTTATGGACTATCTATTGTCAAACACAACAAAATGCAATTTTTAATGTGTTTCTAAAAAAATTAAAAATAGTTCTACACTCAATATTTTAGTAACTGCTTAGAAATGAGTCTCTTAAGCAAGTTTTTTTCAGAATCTTTTTCTCATATTATAACTAATATCTCTCTCTCTCTCTAGCTCTTTCTCTCTCGTTTTACTCTGCTCTTTGTAGGCGGGTGTAAGGTGTCATCTTCCTCTCTCCACTCTTCCTAGGCTGGGTAAAATGTCATTGGTAAATAGCCTTTTGTTTTTCTCATCCTGATTGGACGGTCTCATGCATTTATCTCCCCTTGAATAAAAAGTTCTCCTTGCCTTTATAAAAGCATAAGACAAAGGAAAAAGAGCCTTCTTCTCAACTCTTTTTATTCTCCCTTGGCCACGAAGTGATGTACAATCTCAAACTAGTGAACTGGGCAAATAAGTGGCTGCTATTCCTGTATGATGAATGAACCTGAGCTAACTTTGTAGGATCATTAACAAACACCTTAGTGCAAAATGAGAAATGAGCAGCCATATCCTATTTTGCACTTATCATTGCATAAATTCACTTTGGAATGAGCTAGCTGTGGAGAAATTGTCATTGACCTTTAAAGAGTTGTGGAATTGTTCCAGTAGCAAAATGAATTTCACTGGGCTATTATTACTTGTTTGCAGGATTTGTTTTGGATAAAGAAGACCGAAGCATCACCAGATCTGATTTGTACTTCAAGGACCTATTTCGTCAATGTGGATTGCACCTGTATAAAATGAAGGTTATCTTCTGTTACATATTGACCACTTAATCAGCAGTTGATAAATGATAATGCTTTTTAATTAGTGACAGTTTTATTTTATCCTTCTTTTCTTATTTTATGTTGCTGAGTTGAGCTGTGAACGGTGTGCTTTCAAGTTGCATGTTGAAAGTTGGGATTAGAAAAGAGAGCACTTGGTTTGCAAACCTACACTTTCAGTTTAGTGTTTCCAATTTATGTTCAAAAACTAATCCTTTTGAATCATCTCAAATGGAATTCAGTTTCTCTAGTACCATAATTTATCCTTTTGCTATTTGTTTGTATATTATTTTGAAAACAGGAGCAGAAAGGACTCCCTGAAGAATTGTTTGCCGTGAAGATGTATGCCTTAACAACTGAAGTGCCAAAGAAGGTTCATAAGACCAGATCTAAAGCGCAAGCCAACAGACCTGGCATCATTAAATGATTTGTTGTTTCCAACTTTTGTATTCTTGTAGCGTAGGACAGTAGGAGTGCTCCATTTTCTGGTTGATGTAATGTATCAGTATTATCTTAAGTACGTAGTTCTTTGGTTGACAAATTTTGTCCTTTTGCTTTGAAAGCCCCGAGCCCCTCCCCTTTGAGTTGAATGACATCATATATTTATCCACAGTTGATGGATAGGTTTCTTTTAAATTACACTTCTATAGCCATATATTCATGTATTTTGCAACTCTTCTGAAAGCAAATCCTTATGATATTATCCCTGATAAGATGGAAGACCAAAGAGGGCATGGATGGAAATTATGCGAACAAGTCAAGTTCATTAAAATGTTGGAGAAAAAATATGCATGTCAGCTGTCACTTGAACCAGTACATGAAATGAATTTCAATTTTAATAATACAAATAAATATGTTGAGAGATTTGTATGTTTGACTATATTCCTCCAATAGTATGAGACTTTTTATGATTTTGATACGCCAAGTCCAGGCAAGACTAATAGAATCTAGTGATCATGTGAGAAATCTGACCCAAGCTAGCTGCCGACTTGTTGGATGATCTGGTGCACATTAATCCAATGCCTTTTGCCTGTTTAGCTTGATCGAATGTATTCACACTGTCAGTTCCTTTCTCTCATGAATCACCTGCTGCAAATTTCCAGGATACAGCATTTCAATGTTCTCAACAAACCCTGCTTCACTACCCTCAAAACTCTTCCCTCAGCCTGCATTTGTCATCATCTCCAGCAAAAAAAAAAAACAAAAAAACTCCGAATCTGTAAATTTCTGAGATACAAATAAGTCAATGTATTTAGTTTAAACCTCAAAGATATAAACATTAACCAGAATGCAGTTAAACCTTGCAATTAAAGGCTTTAACTTTGATGCAGCAAACCATTGCTTGTGCTGAGATCATAACCAACCTCAGGCCATTGCCCCTGAAGATAACACAGAAGGAAGAAGGAGGATGGGAAGAGAGAGGGGGAGGGAAGGAAGGGAAAAGAGAGAGGGAGAGGGGTAAGGGGAAGAAGAGGCATCGCCGGTAGGCCTAGGGTCGGATCGGGGTCAGTCTATCACAGATCAGACGATTGGCTTCGATCCGGCTCAAACGACCTTTCCTTTCTCAGTTTCTTCTCTTTTTCTGTCGTCACGATTCTTCCCTTTCTTTATTTTTATTTTTCTCTTTATTTTTTTTATTTTGAATTAAAAATATTATTTGTTTTTTTATTTAAATACTAATATGTTATTAAATAATTTGATAATGGCTAAATATTTATATCCCGTGTTATAATTTTATTACGCATTTATGTTATATAAAAAATTTATTAATGGTGTTAATTTTAAATATTAAAATATATGATTAAATAAATATTTAAATATAAATTTTAATTTTTTAAATATCAATATGATAAAAAAATGTTTAGCGTAAGATATTACTGTATTTAAATTTTTTTGTCAAAGATAATTCAAAAAGGTTTTGTAATCTAAGATAAACTTTTAAAGAAAGTTTGAAATAAAGGTGTTTATATTCAAATCAGATTTATATTTGATATTAATAATTTATATATTTATTTTTATTTGATTTAATAAGTTTCAAAATTTTTTTAAATTCAATCCAAATAAAAAAATTAAATCTTAAGATCACTTATTAAATTTAATTTATATAATAAAAAATAAAAAATTAGCTAAATTAAATTTAATAAAATTATATTCAAATCATATATATAAATAAAAATAAAAATTATATAAAAATAAAAAAATATATAAATTTTACTTTTAATTTATATATATGAATTAATTTATATATAATTTATATATATATATATATATATATGAATTTAGATTAAATATAAGCTTTAAATTTTTTATTTAAAATTCGATCTGAATTTTAAATAAATTTAAAAATTATGTTTAAATTATTTAATAAATTTTAATTTTTTATTTAAATTTTCTCAAAACTTAAATCAATTTTCTAACTTAGGTAAAAAACCTGACTATTTGAACATATCTATTATATTGGTTTATTGTATGCATTACAAAATAAGGGTTTGAATCTCATTTTATTAAACTAAATTTACTTATTTATTTACCAGTTAGCCCTCAAATAGTGTGAAGAGCATTGGTCCTTTCCAATTGGCAATTGGGTATCCTAAGAACAGAAAAGAATAGAACCTCTCTCATTAAACCCTTATTCGGTCCTCAGTCCTCTTTTCTTGTTTAATTGGAAGCAGAAACAGCATCCGTTGAATGCAACCCAAGCCTGTTTTTTGAATGTTGAGAAAACACACAGAAGCAAAGCAGAGACAAATAACAGAGTCATGCTTCGTTTCCCTTGCCATATCCGCAACAATCAACGCCTCCATCTCCTCCGAAGACTCTCCTTGTTTTCCTCAAACAGTGCATTCATGGTTTCCAAACACTTGCTCAAAACATCCCCCTCTTCTTTCACTCTGCTGCCTCTAACCCTTTCTCCTAAACACTTATCCACACCCTCTAAACGCTTAATACCTTGTCTTTCTTCAAAACCCATCTACAAAAACCGCTCTTTGTCGCTTAGGTCTAATGGGTTTTCTTCTCTTACTTATCTCAATGTCTCTGCTCCAGCTCCAGCTCCAGGTATTTCTTTTCTTCTCTATATTTTCTAGACCCCATACTAGTAGTATATTTTATGTGCTTTTCTCTGGCAAGCTCTGCCCTTTTTTTTTTTTTTTTTAGACATTAGAGGGTTCAGAATTAACACTGTTGTTTGAATTTTATTACTACATTTTATTTTTACATGCAAACCCCAACTAGTACAAAAGAACAAGCTTGAAGTGATGTTCTACATGTTAATCCACATTCTTTAGTGGGAAGAAAGCAAACAGAGGGAAAGGAGAATGGTAAGGTAGGGGAAAACAAAAGGAAACTCAGAAATATATATTTTTGCTCCTCATGTTTTCTGCAATAGGTGAAAAATTGAAGGAAATAAAAGAGTTAAGAGTTGAATTATAGCTAAACTGGTTCCTTGTAGTTGAATGAGTACTTCTCTTCTGTTTTCCGCCTATTAATGAGAGTATTGGATTTCAAACTAGCACATAAATGCAGGTTCTCTCTCTTCTTTCTCTCTTATTGTTTTCTTCTTACAAACACGGGAAAATATTTCCCTTACCTTCACTACTTCCAAACTCAGTGTCCACGATCAACTGCAAGTGTTTTTTTTTTTTTTTCTGAAAAAGGGAAAAGGTTATGAGTGTTGTTGTTGCTAGATTATTTATTTTGTTCAATTTGTATGCAAAACCAATAAGAGAAGAGGCATTTATGTGTTTATGCATGCTGACACTTATATAGGTGCATGCAAATGTACATATTGGAAGGCTTACCAGAATTCCTTTTTGTTTATCTCTAAGTTTTTTTTTGTTTATCTCTAAGTTTATTCTGAAGACTTGGAAGAGCGGCCCTTGGATTTGCATAGCTTGGAGATTTTGAAGCATAAATTAAAGAAGCTTGGCATTGATATAAGTGAATGTGTTCCTGGGCATGAAAACCGCTTAATGTGCCCCTCGGTATTTTATTAACATCTATTTTCTTTCAACAATATTGTTAGTTTTATTGCATTTCTGCATAACTTTGATTAAATTTTGTCAATCTAATTAAAGCAATTTGCTATTAGAAAGTGTCATTCTTGGTAGTTGTTAACCACAATATAGGCCAGAGATAACAGACTATGGAAGGCTTGGAATTCTCATGGCAGTGCTCATTCCAACTGATTCTATTTCGCAGACAAGACAGTTTATGGCCTAGCTAAAATTGTTAGCTATTAGCAGGAAAATAGAACTCTCTCTAGACATCAAAAACTACAGAAAATATATCCATTTCCACAACCCCTGGAACCCTTCAAACTTTCTTGTCTCCTGACTAGGCTCAAATCCATTGTGTTAGAGTGATATGTTTATTTAATCTTTTTTTGCCATTATGCATACATCTGAGATTTTAGCTCTTTTTTTTGGCGTTGGTTTTTATTATAAATAGATGCCGAAGAAAGTAGAGGTGCTTGAGAGATAGGCCACTCTTTATGCGCTGTCTCTCCAAAAAAATTTACATCCTACGGCTCTTGTCCAACTTAGTGATTTACCTAATAAAAAAAATATAATCCTGCATGAAAATTATTCTGGTTGCTAAGTTTGTTTTATGCTTTCCTTTTGGCATTCTTTTTCTAAGTTGATATTCTTGTATGATAGTGCAATGGTGGTGACTCAGAGGAAATTAGCTTATCTATTTTCATCAGCCAGGATGGGTATGCTGCATTTACTTTCTTTCTTATTGCATTGTTTCTTTTTAATTCTTTAGTGTCACCAACCATAGTTGTTGGTCCATCTGAATTTATAGGTGTTCAGCTTCGTGGCTGTGTTTTCGAGCAAAATGTGGGTGGAAAGGTTACACAAAGGTAATCTGTTTCTCCTCTGAGTTTGATGTAGCAATAATTACATGTCTATATGAAAGTTTTTAGATATATCTTATAAGTGTCTTTTGGTTGTCCTTTGGTTTTAGGCCTTTGCAGATGGCAAGTCATCGTTTGAAAGTTTCAGTCGAATTAACAAAGTTAAGGTCAAAAGGCAAGTCACAGTGGAGAGTTTGCAATTAGAACCACTCTGTAATCAGGTTACTATGTTTTTCCTTTCCCCTATGTTTTGTTCACTGAATTTTATATTGATTTAGATGTCGCATAGCTTATTTGCTCTATCTTATATGCAGCTTTGAAATGTGTAGGCTTGTAGGTTTTCCATTCAGCATGTCCACTTGTTTATGCTTCAGTGCAGAATAAATAGATGTTTTTCTGCTGTTGAGTTTATTCTTATAACTCCTTTATCAATTGAAAAATCCCAATAGTTAGCTGTTCCTAAAATAACTCTAATTTGTTTTTCATTTTTATCCATAAATGGCTTTTGAGCTTTTCATGAAGAAAACATTTTAAATTAGAACAAATTTTACATTAAACTACATTCCTTACTATATCAATCCACTTCCTATAGCAACGGTTGTAGAGTCTAACTGAAAATTGAGGACATTTCAAGGGGAGAGAGAAAAAGTTTTTATATCCAAGAGAGCTTGTTGCATTATAAAATCCTTGTGGTGGATGAACTTTTAGTGTCCGCTATGAAGTATATTTCTGAACTTTTTCTTGTTGACTGGATTGGTTTTCGCTGAAAGGAACTAAGTTGTGTGGTGAAATTCATCTTTTCAAACCAGGTGGAAAATCTTAGTGTCCTCAAAGAATAAGGAAAATTATGATAAGTATTTTTGTCTGGTTTTCCTAGACTTAAATCTTGAGAAATTTGCGATTTGTGGAGAGAGGGTGACAGATGTCTTTTATGGTCAAACATCTCTTGCTTTGTTTACCTCTAACATGGTTGGTTGTTTGGGGCTTGGTCATCGTAGCCACTTTTGTCTTGAAAAATCCTGCAATCTTATGATTTTCCATAATCTTCATTGTCATTGTCCCCTTCTCTGACTTTCCATCTCATATCATCTTAGCTTTAATGGGTTCTTATGTTTTTGCAGTATCCTTTTGAATCTAGGAAAAATCTTGTTTACCCTAGAACTTGAAACATCTACTTTTATACGTAAATCTTTTCCTCTCTAGTCTATGTTACATGGGATGCTGACAATTTGAAAAGCATGCTTAAAAAATCAAAATGGTCTTGATGAGTCCAAGTTGTACCATGTTAAAAAATCAAAGCACCCAATGAGGAAAAAGAAATAACACCACATTCTTTTCCTTTTGGTACTATTCAGAGGTCATTGTTGTGTAGGCACATCAATAGTTATTTAATGCATTTGAAACGTGTCGTACCTGAAGTTAACCATCTTAAATGTAAATTAAGACCATCTTTACAAATGCAAGTGAAGAAAGAGAAGCCAATAAGGGTTTAGCTTATTTGTAGGAAGGGATATTTTTAAAGAATAGAAACAAAAACTTTCAAATGTGGAATAGTAAATAATGCAATAAAAAGTAACATTAAGATAGTAAATTTATGCATGCTGTTATCTCATATCCTACCTTTTAAAGAGTTGTGAAGTTTTACATAACATACTCATACTGCACATATGCATTTGTGTTTCTTAACCTAAAGACAATATATCTCTTATGATTCAGCCGGTAAAGACTTGTGTTTCTCATACTGTCTTTTTTCTGTGAAACCATGGTTGGGAAGACGAAGATAAGAGTCCATATGACACTTTCTTTGAAAGTACCCTAGTAGGAAGTGCAATCCCAAACATCATTTGAAGAAGTAGAAACCATTGTTTCTGCCCCCTGTTATTGTTCATAGGACAAGGTTGATGTTTTTATGTTACTGCTTAAACATAAATTTGTGTAAATCAGTCTGCAAATTTTGTGTTTCTTTCTGTCAAGCCTGGACCTTTTGGACCATGGTGAGCTAGGAATCTGAATCTTCATTCTATCCATCAATGCTCAGAAAAGCTTAATGTTTCTCAACCTTGTCTATGAAATAACTGGAATGTGGAACTTCTCTAAATCTCCCTACTTGAGTAGAACAGAATTAATGTTTCTGTTTGCTTAGATCGCATGGAGTAATATTTTTAGTATCAATTATGAAAATAGTTATACTATTCAATGATTTGCCGATATCTACATCCTCAATATGTGAGCATTGGGTTTCACAAACATAAATCAGTGAGGACTTTGAGAAGTAAGTATGTTATTGGATATATTTTGTTTATAGTTATTGAAAATCATGACATATCTATTGTTCTTGACCTGATCAGGATATTGTGCGGTCATGGCATGTAAATAATAAGGAACTTAGAAAAGAAAGTTTCTTCTGATTTTTCATCTTTGCTATGGATAAACTGCCTTGCAATGATTTGTTGAGCTTTCTCTTCTGAATCATTTTCTTGAACTTCAAATGTTTATAGAAGAAATGAGAATTGTTGAAAATAGGATTTAACTGGTATGATCTAATCATTTAAGTTGAAATATATCTTTCCTAGTAAAGACTCTTGCTTTGGAAAACTTCTGTTTCTGATCAATCCATTCAGCAGAAGTTTTGGTTTTGGTTTTGGTTTTTTTTTGTTTTTTTTTGTTTTTCTCTTTTCTTCTTTATTGATTTTTCTGGGGGGTGGGGTGGGGGTGGTTGTGTGTGGGAGGGGCTGCAGCCATGGTAAGATAACTTTTTATTTAGTTAACACTGGGATCTACTGTAAATTCAATCATGAAATGCTAAATATTGACATGTGTTGGGTGAATTGAAAATGCTAATGCTGTTCTGTTGTGTTGGAAGATAATCTTCCTAGTTTATGTGTCAGCATCCTTCCTTCAGGTTTAAGTTTCAATTTAGTGGATTGTGATTTGTTGACTCAGTTATCCATAGTTATCCATGTAAAATTAATTGAAATGGCACATGAACCTTGGTTAATATTTTTATTTGTTCTTGTTCCAGCTTATTTCTTATTTCGCAGAGCGAATGATATCTGCAGAAACACTAAAGAGAAATGCTGTTATGCAAAAAAGGACCTGTAATGAGGTAATTATCAATTTTTTTCTCAAATTATGGCTTTAGGATGCTGACAGTGCAGAGTAAGATTTAAATTTTGGCTGTCAGTTTGTTTCGGATAAATACAGTGTGGGAAGTTGGTTGTTCTCCACTTTTGTTGCTTACGCTATGATTGTCCTGCATATGTTATTTTTTGTGCCAAAGTTCACTCTTCTGGTTAATTTCAGGTTCACTTAACTTTAATGAAAACATGTGAATTTAAATTCATTGATCGGAATAAGAAATGTACTACTGGTTGGGTTACTTCACCTTTTAACTATTTGGCATCCTTCTCGCAAAGTTCATGATCTTGAGAATAAGCCTCAAACTTTTTGTTAAAGTTTTAGATATCGATGAATATTCATTGTTTAAAAGGAGGGATGTTTGGCAGAAGAAAAAGATATGATTCTGCCATTGTATTAGAGACTTGGGGAATGTTTACCTACTTAGGGTTTATGGTCAGCTAGAAATAGAAAATGAAAGATGTTAGGGTCTATTTTGGGCTAATGTTTGAATTAGATTTGATTTGATTGTGATTTGATATAAAAAGGTGCTGGAATTGAAAAAAAAAAAAAAGTTGCTGGAAACTCTGGTTGCAGCAAGAAGATCAGGGGTTAATTTCTGACTTGATGGGTTTGACTGGTAGGTATTCATATGTGAATATGGGATTATTGGGTAACCATTATTGTGAAAGTTATAAAAAGGGGAGTATGCTTTGGGTTAAAGAAGAGAAGAAACTAGTCTAAAAGAAGAGTTTCCTGTGCTGTAAAAAGTTACTCGAGAATTTTGTAGCTGAAGAGAGAGTAGTAAACAATGCTGCTGGGCTTTCTGATTTTAATAAACCAAATAATTTATAATTCAGTAATTACAAGCTTGACATATTAAGAGTACGTAGGTATATATAATGTCTGCTAGACTCTTATGCATCCTAGAACTAGGATTCAATTTTGGAGAGTAACTAGTAAATAAGTAAATAACCAACTTGGACTACAAAAAATCTAACTCCTAGAAGCTCTTAGCGTATTCTAAACGCAAGAAAATGTAATCCTAGGGTGCATAATTTGAAGAAATTATGATTCTACTCCTGTATATGAAAATAGTCAAAATTACAAAGTGAAATCCTAAAATTTTAATAGTGACATTATATAGCAAAGTTCCTTCTGTGGCAGCATTAGACCTGTGTACTAAAGTATTTGGTATGTTGGCTGGTCTATCTTCCCTTATTTGTTGTTTAAGACGGTATTGTTTTTATTGCTAGGGGCATTTTTGGGAGGGTGTATTTATTTTGAAAGAACTGATTTTGTGATATTAATACGGTTAAGGTTTTAAGATTTTGAGGTTAATGCTGCAAATTTGGTTTCTTAATGTGATAATGTGCCCGTAAAGCTATTTTGTTGATAATGTACCCATAAAGCTATTTTGTCTTACCTAATTACTCCTGAAATTTCATTCACAGATTGCTATTGCATTCACTTATTGGCGTAAGAAAGACCTTGTAAATTGCAAGTATCGGGATATAGACAAGAAGTTTTGGCAGGTTCTTTTGAAAAGTTTTCCCTTGTTTGTATTGTTATGGTGACTTGGAGTTTAAACTTATTTGTCCTGTAGACATTTACATTGAACATCCTATGCTATACTTTTGGAGTGGTCACGTGTTGAGGAGGGCACATTTTGTGCTCTTTATTTTAAAAGTGAAATTTGATAATATTTGATTCAAATCTTACTTATACACTTCTTCCATTGCAGGAAAAGGATACTGAAACGATATTTTATGGGCTGAATGATATAGACGATGCAAGCGATATTATCATTGTATTGCTTTGTCACTCTCTGTAGAAGATTTCGTTCCAGTTCTATGTTTAGTCGATGCTTATTGTTTCAACTTGTTTTTATAGGTTGAAGGTGAAATGGACAAGCTTGCGATGGAGGAAGCTGGCTTCCGTAATTGTGTTAGTGTCCCTGATGGTGCACCACCATCAGTTTCTCAAAAGGAGGTTCCAGCTGAAGAGCAGGTTTTAGTCAAATTAAAGTTTAATACTACAATTTATTTAGCTTTTGAATAGCATTATAGTGTTATATGGTGTGGTCAGCCATCAAATACTATGTAGATATTCAACTTCAATGTTTCAACTATGAAACAGGGAGGATTGAATCCAATGGAGATCTTATGTCTCCATCTCTCCTCATACATGCATGTCATATGAGCTATTTTCCAGTGAGAAAAATAGGTGGTAGCATCATTAGTTAGGTATAAAGTATTTCTTAATCAGTATCCTTCACTTTTTGGCACATTAGATTACTCGAATGTGTGTGCTTTTCATGAGTCCACCTGCCTACATCTCTAAAGTTTAATAGTATCTGACAGAATAACGTTTTATGAATTGTTTGTTTAAGATCTACTTATGGATAGGGTAGTTTATGGAGCAATTAGTCAGTTTGTTGTTGTTGCAACTGTATTTGCTTAGTTTAGTGCTGAGGAAGTTGGTGCTTTAGTTAGTGCCTCTAATAAGTTGGTTAATTGAACCAACAACTTCTAGCCTTGAGCAGTTGGCAAGTGGTGGTAATTAGAAATTCAATTGGTAGCAGCTTGGGTGTTCTTGAACAGCAAAGCTGTTAGTGATGCATGTTCCTAAGGTAGCTTGATACCTAGAGGTTAGACAATAGGGATTAAAGGAAGAGAAAATTTTAAATCTAGGCAATAACACTGATAAAACAATGTTTCATACCCTCTACAAAGAGCATAAATCTTCTAAAATTTCTTGCTTAAGTACATGATCAAATTATAAAATTGTTCAGCCCTACGCAAGCAACTGAACTCTGGGTGGGTATTTATACAACCTCGGTTCATCTATAAGACAATAATGCCATTAGACCAACATAAGAAATTAAAGAAATGTACTTATTCCTCTTATTAAAGAGAAATTACCAGCCAGATAACAACTTAGAGAAGTACAAACCTAAGAATGGACTTAAAACCATACTCAATTACTGAAAATTGTGTATGAACCCTTGGTCTATTCATGAGTTCCAGATTGGAGATGGATGTTGAAACCAGCTCTTCTAGACTTCGTATCACTTATATTAGATACTGTCAACTGCCTTTATCAACATTTACACTCTGTTTGGTAGGAAGAATGGAAAGGAGAAGGGAAGGAACAAGTTTTAATCCAAAAAATTGAGCTACAAAATAGCAAAGGTGGTTATGAATCCCAACCATTAGATTAAAACATTTTCCATCCTTCCCCCGTTCCATCCTCTCTACCAAACAAAGTCTTAGTGGCCTGCAAATGTAAGCTATTCGAAGGAGTGCAAATTCTTAAGCAGCGGCTGTTTAAAGTCTTGGGATTGGATGGCATTCTACCAGCTGAAATGAATTGCAATATTCCATGCTAGTTGGGACTCTACATGATTCTGTTTTAATGTCATGCATTCTTTCAACTTCATTAAGCATGTAGTATATTTGGCTTTATGATGATGAAACTAGTTATGACATAACTTTAAAGTTTTTTTGAAAATATGAAATGGTTACCGAGTCTGAAGTGGAACAGTAAATTAGAATGAGCTCTTCTCATTTTAGAATATTACTGTTTGAATAAATTTTCTGTAGTTTGCAATATATTTTGTAAATTTGCAATAATGATAATGATGCATGATATGGCCTTGGTTTTTCTTCCATCGCTTCCCCTCTTGTCCTAAATGAATGTAGCTTCATTTAAGTAGAGAAGGATTGACCGAGAAAATGGCTGCACTCATTTTGGACAATATAGTATAACATTATTCTTTTCATTGTATGTATAAATGTGGTTCTAATGTTTCATTCATGTGTTTTGTAAAGCTAGGACACTAAGTATCAATATCTGTGGAACTGCAAAGAGTACCTAAACAAGGTTTGCTGGGATTTAGTTTTTGAGCTTTTCCTATAATGTGTCCTTTTGAAATCTATAAGACTCTAGTTTTTAATAATATCTATATTGATAGGCATCACGTATTATACTTGCTACTGATGGTGATCTACCTGGTCAAGCCTTAGCCGAAGAGCTTGCACGTCGCCTTGGAAGAGAAAGGTTTATATGATTTTGCTGTAATGATATTTTCTGTCATGTTCTCAATCCTGAGGCTATTTCGAAACTTTTCTTGGTTTCTTTTCCTTTTTCCTCTATTATTGTTGTTATCCTTGCTTTTTTAATGAAAAGCGACCTTTTAAGTGTATTCAAGACTAACTGTTTGCTTTTTTTGGGTAGCAGATGCTGGAGAGTTAGATGGCCGAAGAAAAACGATGTGGATTATTTTAAAGATGCAAATGAGGTCATATAGCTATATCTTTGTCTTTATGCCTGTAATGTGAAATATTTTTGACTAATTTTTTAAAATCAAAGTTTTGTTCTTTTCAATTTAAAGTCAGCTTCATAATAAACTGAAGATTAGTTGATATTAAGAGTTGTGCATGTGGTAGATGATAAGCTATTGCCCTTCTTCTCCCCTCTCTCTTGACATTTCTACTCTGGGGTTTTTCTATTTTATAAACTTCAATTGATTTAAGTGAAAGGATTACTGGAAACTGTTCATTTGCATCTTCTAGCATCTGCAAATTTTACTATGATTTAGAGCAGCAAAAGGCTTGGGATTATGGCAATTTTATGACCTAAATTCTTTAAGAAAACAGGAAAAATTGCATAAAGGAAGGAGAAGAGAGAAATCCCTTAGCTTCACACCTAGGGTTCCTTAGGAGTCACATCTAAGGTTGATTAGAAAATAAAATCACAAAGCAATAATGCTGGGAATTCTCCTGTGTTAAACAATATCTTAATAGAAAGAGTATATTGATTTATATGGACTTCTAGAATCCTTAATCATAAAAGCATAGACTCCTATTCTGATTAGGACTTTAGCAAAAGACTTCAAGTAGAGAACTAGCTAACTTAACTATCAAAACCAAACTTCCTTGATGCAAAATCTGATATTTCCTCCAAACCAGAAAATTAGAAATATACTCTTGATAATTGAAACCCAAGAAACAGAAAAATAAAATAAGAACAAAAAATTTTAACTCAAATAATTTGAGACTCAAAAGCAACTAAATAATAATAGCTTACTCGAGCTCTTAAAGCTTCTTATCATTGGCAGGTGCCAAATTGAAGTTTGAACATTTGAACCAGCCTTAGCATGCCTCCTAAACACCTTTGAGACAGCTGCCAAGGTTCTGGTCAATTTTTATTCATAGATCAAATATTCTCTCCAACCAACTCTTAATTGTGACCACAGGTGCTTATGTATTTGGGACCCAGCGTTCTAAAGGACGTAATAGAGGATGCAGAATTATATCCCATACGTGGATTATTCAACTTCAGAGATTTCTTTGATGAGATTGACAAATATTATCATCGGACTCTTGGATATGAATTTGGTGTCTCAACTGGTTGGAGGGCACTGGACGATCTATATAATGTCAGCTTTATGTGTTCTTTGTCTTTCTATACTGCTTAGTGACTAGTGGTAGAGATGATGTATCATCATTCTCATGATGTTTTTTTCTCCCCTTCTTTCTTGAACAGGTTGTGCCAGGAGAGCTGACGATAGTAACTGGTGTTCCCAATTCTGGGAAGAGTGAATGGATTGATTCTCTCTTATGTAATCTTAATCAAAGTGTTGGTTGGAAATTTGCTCTTTGCTCCATGGAGAACAAGGTCAGCCACCAATTTTCCTATATCCATCCACAATTCTGATCTCTCTGTTCTTGATTTACCAGCATATATGTGCAACTCTTATATAGGAATTGCAGCTTTTAATTTGGGAAGATATATGAGTTAGAAACTAAGGAAGAGAATCATTTAGGTTTTGAAATTCTTGATATATCTTGTGTTATATTGTTGTATAATTAGACAAGCAAGCCTTGCTAAAGATGTTTTCCCTTCTTGCCTTCTTTTGGATTTACTGTTGTTGGCATACTTTGAAGACTTATATTTCTTTTAAAATTAAAATTTTTTATGCATAAATGTACATTTCCTAAGTTCACATCATAATTCAGCTTTTTCTTTTGCAAAGTGTCTTGATTATTCTAGAATCTATGTCCCCGAGATAGTGGAAAATCCAGCTACCAAGTAAATCAAAGACATGCAAGATATTTCTAGAAATAGATCAATCATTTTTTTCATGAGTGATTTTAATTAAAGTGGGAATTATTCTTATGTGAGAGTATTCCTTCTGGCCAACCATAATGGACAATCACTATGATGATGTTGTTGTTATTGTTACTCATGCTATTGCATGCTAAGATCTATTAACCCTTTTGACTTAGTTAATCTCACTGTTTCCCCATTTTGTTGATCAAAGGTTCGGGATCATGCAAGGAAACTTTTAGAGAAATACGTAAGGAGACCGTTCTTTGAAGCAAGGTAAGTTTAGTTAGTATGAGTTTCTATTATTGCTCTCTTCTAGCATTGTTAGGTCTAGGATATGTTTTTATACGAGGAAATTATTTCTAAACTTAATTTGTAAGAGCTTGTAGGTTTTAAGAGGATGCTTATAATTTTTAGTTAACTTAGATCTTATAATTGGCTATCTACAGGACATTTAAGAAAAATATAGATGAATTTTGAACTAATTATTTAACTTATGTGTTTTTGGAATGATGTGATCAATTATAAAATATCCTTGTTTTTGAATAATGTTATAGCTGGAATATTTTAACTTATTGTACTTATCAAAATAAGACTATAATGATTGCTTTTTAGTTTTAGCAAAGTGATGGTGTAGAACAAATATTGTAAAGCCAATTCAATAACGTGAATTCTCAATCAAAATCCTCTAAAATCCAATAATTTAAATCTCAAATATTTGAAAGTTAATAACTCAATAATTCATAAGCCTACTCAAAATTAGAATGACATAGGCTGTGGAAAAATTGAGAGTGTATAGAAAAACTTGTCTATTGAATCATACAAACACCATAGGTTTAAATACAGCTAACTAGAGGGTAAACTAGGAAACTAAATATTCCTAAATCTGATCCCTATAGTCAAGGGATTGTCTATCCTAATATTCTGTCCTTAATTCTAGAGATACAAATTCTCAATTTTAGGGATACAGATATATACAGATTACAATTAGCAACACAGATTACAACCAGTTGTAACTAAATGTTTTCCCGCACTCCCCCTCAAGCTGGTGAATAGGTGTTTTCCATTCCCAGCTTGGAAATAATTTCCTGAAATGTTGCACTGTTGAGACCTTTGGTCAACACATCTGCAAGTTGGCCCTTGGTTGATACATTTGGTGTGCAAATCAATCCACTGTCTAGTTTTTCCTTTATGAAGTGCCGGTCTACTTCAATGTGTTTTGTTTTGTCATGTTGCACAGGATTGTGTGCAATGCTTATTGCAGACTTGTTATCATAGTAAAGTCTCATTGGTCCATCCCATTTGATCTTCAAGTCTTCTAGGATAATCTTTAACCATAGTAGTTCACAAATTCCTTGAGCCATTGCCCTAAACTTTGCTTCAGCACTTGATCTTGCCATCACATTTTGTTTTTACTCCTCCAAGTTACAAGATTACCACCTAGAAAAGTACAGTAGCTTGAGGTAGATTTTTTATCAGTTACTGAACCTGTATAATCAACATCTGCATAAGTCTCTATACCAACCCCAAATTTCTTTTAAACAAGATACCTCTCTCAAGATTAGCCTTCAAATAGTGTAGTATACGGTAGACAGCTTGTAGGTGCACTTTTTTAGGACTATGCATAAATTGACTTATCACACTCATAACATATGCTATGTCAGGTCTAGTATGTGAGAGATAAATAAGTCTTCCAACTAATCTCTGGTACATCTCCCTATTTACAGCAGCATCTTCATTAGTTTCTCCAAGCTTATGATTAGGATCTATAGGGGTACTTGCAGGTTTACATGCGAGCTTCCTAGTTTCCCTCAAAAGATCCATCACATATTTCTGTTGTGAGATAAAAATACCATGCCGTGAGTGAGCTACTTCAATTCCTAGGAAATACTTCAATCTCCCTAGCTCTTTTATTTCAAATTCTTTGGCCAAACATTGTTTTAAAGATTCTCTCTCTTTTTCATCATCTCCAGTTACAATTATATCATCAACATATACTAACAGAACTGTGACTTTTCCTGAATCTGAGTGCTTGATAAACAGTGTGTGATCCCCTTGACTCTGTTTATATCCCATTCCTAGCATCACTTTGGCAAATCTCCCGAACCAGGCCCTAGGAGACTGTTTAAGGCCATATAAAGCCTTTTTTAACTTGCAAACCTTTTTTGCTTCTAGATGACCTCCAAATCCTGGTGGAACTTTCATATATATTTCTTCTTCCAAATCACCATGTAAAAAGGCATTCTTTACATCCAATTGTTGAAGCTGCCAATTGTAATTTGCAGCCAAGGATAACAAAATCCTAACTGTATTCATCTTGGCAATTGGAGCAAAAGTTTTCTGATAATCCACTCCATAAGTTTGAGTGTAGCCCTTAGCCACCAGCCTGGTCTTGTACCTTTCAATAGTACCATCTGCCTTGTATTTTACAGTGAAAACCCATTTACACACAACTAGATGTTTTCCTGCAGGCAACTCTACCAGTTCCCATGTCTTATTTTTCTCTAGGGCCTCCATTTCTATTTTCATGGCTTGCCTCCATTTCTCATCGGATAATGCCTCAGATAATGTAGTTGGAATAAAAATAGTGTTTAGGCTCACAAGAAAATTTTTATGGGATGGTGAGAAATTTTCAAATGACACAAAATTAGAGATTGGGTATAATGGATGTTTAGTACATTCTCTAGTTCCTTTCGTAATGGCAATAGATAGATCACAATCATTAATTTTAGGAGATTCATGCTTATTTTGAGAAATAGAATCAGAGACTGTAATTACCTCATTTTCAGAGTTAGGATCAGGTTCTTGGATTTGCATTGGTTTAGGAGCTGGAACTTTTTTTCTTGAGTATACCTGTAATTCCTTCACAGAATCAAGAATAGTATTATCCTTAGTCACAACTTCTGTGTTTGGAATGGGTTCAGATTTAGAATCAGTGTTTGACTTGGACTTTGAAGAAACGGGTTTAGGCTCAAAAGAATTAATGGCTGAAACTGTTTTGGAGGAGGATGACAAATCAAGCAAAAGGAAGTCTCTATCCTTATCTTCTATAAATGATGTCTCCCCTTGAAGATAAGGTTGAGTAAAAAATGGTTTACTTTCTTCAAAAGTGACATCTGCAGACACATAGAATTTTTTGGTAGGAGAATGATAGCACTTATACCCTTTCTGAGTTGATGAATGCCCCACAAAGATACACTTAATTGCTCTTGGATCCAACTTTCCCCTATTATGACTGTGAACATGAACAAATGATGTACAAAGGTTGTTTGTGGTATTAAGGTTGGGATAGAATTGTGAGAGTAGTTCCATAGGAGTTTTAAATCCCAAAACCCTTGAAGGTAACCTATTTATAATGTGTGTGGCAGTGAGAACAACTTCCCCCAAGTAAGATTTGGGTACATTTGCTTGAAAAATGAAGGTTCGGGTTGTGGCTAGTAAATGGCTGTTTTTCTTCTCTACCACTCCATTTTGTTGTGGAGTATTCACACAAGATAACTCATGGATAATCCCCATCTTTTGGAAATAGGTGGATAGACTCTAGTTGAAATAGTTTCTTGCATTATCAGATCTAAATCTCTTGACTCTCACTCCAAATTGATTTTGGATCATGTTTTGAAAGCTTAAAAACACACTATTCACATCTGATTTGGATTTAAGTAAAAAAACCCAAGAGACCCTGGTACAATCATCTATGAGTGAAACAAACCATCTTGCACTGGAAATGTTAGGAATTGTAGAGGGACCCCAAATGTCATTATGAATCAAGTAAAAGGGAGTAGAACTTCTTTTGTTACTAATTGGAAAAGACACATTTGTGCTTTGCAAGTTCACAAACATCACAATGAAAATCTTCAACATTTAATACTTTGAACAAAGAAGGAAACATGTTTCTCAAAGTTCCAAAAGAAGGATGTCCAAGACGAAAATGATAAAGCCAGATTTTGTCTTTATTGGAGGAGTTTTCAGAAAGAAATGACAAAGGTAAACTATTCCTGATATTACTTGTGTTGTTGGATGTCTCAAGATAGAATGTACTAAACTTTTGTGAAGATTGTGTCATGTGGTCTTTGGCTCCTGATTCAATGACCCAAGAACTCTTAATAGACTTATCTGAGACATTTAATCCATGAGAATTAGAGACTTTACCTGCACTAGAGACCTTACCTGAGTGTGCCAAGGAGCATACACCAGTAGTCTTTTCAAGAGTTTCCAATAGGCTTCTCAGTTTCTCAATCTCTTTTTTGTCCAACTCTCCATGTTCTTGAGACTTCTTCTGGTTTAACTCCATTGCAGTCATGTGAGCTTGTCCTTGATTTCTTGGCTGTCCTCTTTTATAACCCCATTCTTTGCTTGAAGTTGAAGGTTTTCCATTTAGTTTCCAACAATGATCTTTGGTGTGCCTTGGCTTCTTGCAATAGGTGCACCAAAGATTGTCACGATTTGAAGTCTTAGCCGAATCACCTTTCCCATTCTCGCTGACTGGTAATTGTTCTAAGCTTTGGTTCTTCCCACCATTAGAGACCATAGCAGATCCTTCTACATGCAGACTGTCAAGCATCACTCCTCTTCTGCTCTCTTCTGCTCTAACCATGGATATCACTTCATTTAAAGAAGGCAGATCCTCTTTTCCCAAAATTTGGATCAAACTCAACATTAAGTCCAGCAAGAAAATCATAGACTCGATCTTTTTCAATAAATTTCTTCAAAGTTGCTGCATCTTCACTGCACTTCATTTCTATGCACCGATAGTGATCCATCTTTTGCCAAAGATTTTAAGAAGAATAGCATACTCTGTGACTGACTTATTCCCTTGTTTGAGAGCCGCAGTGTTGATCTTTATCTCATAGACTTGAATAGCATCCTTAACTTTGGAATAGGTTTGTCGAATTGATTCCTAAATGTCTTTGGCCGTGGACAAAAACATACAAGTGTCACTAATTTCTAGTGTCATAGAATTCCACAGCCATGACATAACCATGGAATCCTCTTCATCCCAAGCCTCAAATTTTGGATCTCCTCTCTCAGGACCAGTGCCAAGAAGATGGCTCAATTTTCCTTTCCCTTTTAGAAAGGTTTGAACCAACTGAGACCACTTCAAGTAGTTCTTTCCATTCAATCTGTATGCAACTTGGATATTTTGTAGTTCTCCTTTGGTTTGACCAGTTGTCACTTCCTTAAATCGAGTAGTAGCGGGAGATTCTGCTATTTCTGACATGGTTACCTTTCTCAGGATTGAAACGAGTCTAGGCAATGAAGGCCAAAAAGGAAAAATAAGAGTATGAAAGACTTAACAGAATTTGGCTATGAAGGCTTGAAATAGAATTCAGCAATGAAGGCTGAAAAATTTCCTTCCCAAGAAGAGCCTAAGGCTCTGATACCATGTGGAAAAATTGAGCTGTGGAAAAATTGAGAGTGTATAGAAAAACTTGTCTATTGAATACAAACACCATAGGTTTAAATATAGCTAACTAGAGGGTAAATTAGGAAACTAAATATTCCTAAATCTGATCCCTATAATCAAGGGATTGTCTATCCTGATATTCTGTCCTTAATTCTAGAGATACAAATTCTCAATTTTAGGGATACAGATATATACAGATTATAATCAGCTACACAGATTACAACCGGTTGTAACTAAATGTTTTCCCACATAGGCATTTATAACTAAACCCAAAATCTTAAATAAAACATGAAATGCCAAATATAACCTTAAAACCTAATACATGGAAGATAAGTAAAATATAATTATTAAGTTGGATGATCCCAAAGGCTTAAGCTGATATGAAAGGGCCCAACTATTATATTTAAGTTTCAACATGCTGCCTCGCTTGCAAGCCGGATGTATGATTAATGGGCTTGCATGTTGACCCAAGTGTAGAAGGAAGATGCAAGCTGAAGGATTAAACCAGCAGCACAAAGCCTGATAAGCAACAAGACACTGGGTGAAGAAATATTAAAAGGGAACGATTGCCAGGATTCGAACTCTAAAGCTTTGATGCCATGTTAAGTTGGGTGATCGATTGTCCTGAAACTTTAAGCTGATAGGAAAGGGCCCAACTATTTTATTTAAGATTAAAAAATAATGAATGTATAAAAAATAATAACAAGTCCTTGATAATTTAATCCTTCAACTAGCATGTCAGCCTCCAAGAGATGATTTAGAAAACTGATGAATACCTGGAAACAATACCTTTTTTCTATTTGTTTGCAAGGTAGTTTCTTTGAGTTACTTTGTTTTAATTTTATAACCACCAATTGGTTCATTTGCTCCTTTTGCTGACAATAGCTATGGAAGCTCTGTTGAAAGAATGAGTGTAGAGGAATTAGAGGAAGGGAAGAAATGGTTGAGTGAGACATTTTATCTCATAAGGTAAGTTGAATACTTTAAATTACATGGTTGGTTTTCTAAGTTTTTGACATGTTTTTTGATAATATTAGGTGCTGATTGAGACCTTTAGTTTTCATTTTTTTTTTCAAATTGTTGCTTAGATACTTGTGAAATATATATATATATATATATCAGAAAGGGGTGGGGGTGTTTCAATTTATAGCTATGTATGGGTTTGGATGCTTCTAAAATTGAGGCCTTGTACGCTCTGATTGTTTTGCTGCTACTCTTAATACTGCCTTTCGGACTTATCTCATGGGATCTAGAACAGGTGTGAGAATGATTCTCTTCCGAGTATAAAGTGGGTTCTGGATCTTGCAAGGGCAGCAGTACTCAGGCATGGTGTTCGGGGACTTGTAATCGATCCTTACAATGAACTTGATCATCAGCGCCCAGTTAATCAGTGAGTCCTATTTTACACCTTGCTCATTGCCTCATTTGTTTCCTGCATATTAGCACTCTCCTTCCCTTTTTCCTCAATAGTATAGCTTGACATTTTTTTGTGCCTTGAATTTTGATTTTCCATGAAATACATGTATATTTTTATATTTTTTATGCAAACCAGCTTGATATTTGGCTAGTTCGGGGATACCCATTTTTCAAAATTTGAAGCTACCTATGGGCTTTCTTTTTTAAAAAATATAATTCTGTGATAGAAGTATTAAAAAAGCTGTCCTAATTCTTTTTTACTATTTAACTTTCCCTTTTCAATTGTCTTTGGAGCTCTAATCATTCCCTATTTCTATTCCTAATGCGTTTGTGCATGATACTGTAATTTTATAAGTAACATTATAATAAATCAGCCCTTGTGATGCTCCTATTTTTTATAACCGTTTTCCTAATAAATGAGGTAATGATGTTAAGTACTTTTCTTTCCGAAAGTCACTATCATAATCTACTTTTTGCATCTAAAAATGTATATACCATTTTGAGTATTTCATTCTCCCACTTCTTACATTTAATAACAGTTCATTATTTCTTCTCTCATGGAAAGCATAGTTCCTAGAAAATGGATGAATATAGTTAATATTAACGTTTTTGTTGCATTTTTTATATTCTATATATCAAGTTATCTGCATTATGTTCATATGGTACAATTTTTCTATCAGGAAATTCAAGAAATCTGTTACAAAACATTTTATATTTGTTAAAATTTTTATGTTGACTATATTTGATATGTCAGTCATTAAGTAACACTTTAGGACAAGTTGCATCACTAGAAAAGATGAAAACCTCAGTTTTATGTGTATTATATGTGTACTTTCATTTAATTAAAGATATTAATTATACTCATTCCATATTTGCAACATTGACACATCGACAAAGTCATTTAGTAGCTAGATATTGATTATAATACAGCCTAAGTGGAAACTATTTACAAGTCATATGAGACACCTTTTGTTATGGACAAAAACTACATAAATGAAGTAAATTAAAGAATATTGGCTTGAAGCTCGAAATAGGACTTTACTTTAATCCAATGTTCAATTGAGGTTTGATTTTTATTTATTTAGTTTTTAAATAATAAGGAATTACAATTGTTCAATTTGATTTGATCAATGAAAATTTTGTTGATGAAACACAAACATATTTTTAATTGATTAGCTCTTAACCAACCATACTTCCAGCAAACTTACCTTGCATTAATAAAACCTGTTTGGGCAATATTTTAATGAAATGAGAATGATTTGGAAGAAAACATTAACCCCCTCCGAAATGGTTTAACAATTGACTGTATGAACATAATTTAATATCAAAGCAAAGTCATGTAACTCATTCCTTCCTTTTGATTTTCACCCCTATTTGGATTTTGAAAGTAGTATTTTTTTTTTATCTCATAGATTGAGTTGCTGTTCTCTTGCTGTACCCTTTTCCTTAGTCTAAGCAATAGGCAGTAGGGCAATTTCATGTTGCAGCTCAAAAACTTTTAAGAATTAATAGTAGCAAGAACATTATTGATTTTCCAAAGGCAAAAGCCACAAGTCATTGCTACCCTATAAAATTTCTTTTCTCACATTTAAGAAAAACCATGAAAACAATTGATTATGTAATTAATATTTACATATACTATTATGTTGGAATAAATTCCATTCTGTCCTGTTAATGGTTAATAGTTATATTTTACTTAAACTTATTTTTAATAATTAATAGTTATATTATAAATAATCTTATTTTTAATTTCCCAAAAGTTTGTATGTATGTATCAGTGGTATTCTAATTCAACTGACACATTAAGCCATCATAATGTATCCCGAAAATTTCATGGAGACACATCATTTGTTAAAATTATCAGCACAGCTTGCTGCTAATTTCCAATATCTAAAGCAAAATCGCAAATGTTTCGAAATCAGCTTTTGAAAGGCTTCAGACTCTGGCTGCTTGTATAGTCTGTAAATGGAAGTCATGTTCCAGTTTTGAACATTTTCATTGTTTGCTTCCCATTTTACTTGAAAACAATGAAAACAGCTTTTTCTTGTTTTAAAAATTAGGCTTTTTTGACTACCATTTCTGTTTTCCTAGATAATGAAAGCAGAAAGGGGCTATGTTTTCTTAAACCAAACATTCTAAGATCTTCCTTTTCTTTCTGATATTATGTTTTGTGTTAGGGTCAGGTTCATCTCTCTTTTCTTTTGGCGATTTTTTAAAAATGTTTCTCAATAATCTATGCCATGTTAGTAGTTGCAGATTATACTTAACAGAGGTATAGTGCATATGAACTTTTCAAATCTGTCATGATATTTCTTAAATGTATCTAATTTAGAACTTTAAGTTCTTGACTGAATCAAATAGGTTTAAATTTGGGCCTAAGAATGCCACATTAAATGACTTAGACAAAGTGTTGAGCATGAGAAATTTAGTAAGACTGTTGAAGAACTTCAAACCATATCTAATATGTGGGATATTAGATTAGTAATCTCTTTGCTAATTTGCATTTGAAGACTGAGTCTGAAAAATAGAAACAAATTAAGATTGTTATGGGAACAACCACTATTTTGGAGGCTGGACTATTGAAAGCAGTCTTAACAAGTTAGTTTGGGATTAATCCTTTTATCGATCTAAGTACATTGGTTTATAAGCACTAATGGATGCTTTTATTTTGTCTATCTTCTAAAACTACTAATTGAAATTAGATTCTCCCTTGCTCCATTTTGTTTGTTTGTCCATTTTCATATTGTTTTATTTTTGAAGATGATTTTCTATCCTAGCAGGATTCATAAGTGGAGAAGCAAGGCAAAGCTTCATAGATGTTTTAGAACTGTCTTTTTATTTTTGCCCTTTCTGAGTGCTCCTCATTTGCTGGCTGCCTAAGTGCCCCATTTATTAACATCATTTCTCCATAACAGGACTGAAACAGAGTATGTAAGCCAGATGCTAACGATGATCAAACGATTTGCTCAGCATCACTCTTGTCATGTCTGGTTTGTTGCACATCCTAGGCAGGTTGGTCACAGCGAATTTTCTTATGTTGCTTGGTATCTCCTTTTTTCTAGTTTAATGTATCTCCTTTTACTAATTTAATGTTTGTCTATCAGTTGCACCATTGGATTGGGGCTCCTCCTAATCTGTATGACATCAGTGGAAGTGCACACTTCATAAACAAATGTGACAATGGGATTGTTGTTCATCGGAATCGGGATCCTGAGGCTGGGCCTGTTGATCAAGTACAAGTGAGTATTGTCACAAGGTTGTGTCTTTGCAAGCAATTTTCTAGTTTTTCTTATTGAAATATGCTTTTGCAGGTTTGTGTTCGGAAGGTACGAAATAAGGTTGTAGGAACTATTGGTGATGCGTTTTTGTCTTATGATAGGTACATGACATTTTCTTTGTACTCTTTCCTTTTCTTTTTTGCCCCTAATAGTTTTACTTTTAGGGATTTTGTGTGTATAATAAACCTAACTTGATTAGAAACAGAAAAGGGTTAACAGAAGGTTGAGCACTCAGAACATTAACAAGGTGCCTGATGAAGCAATCATCATAATTTAGAGCTTGCATAGAAAATAACAGAGTTCATTGTTGGAGGGGTCTGGAGAAGTCAGTTAGGTAATCTTAACTCGATTATAAACAGAAAAGAGTTAAAAGTAGGTTAGATAATGCACTAGGAGCAGTCAGACCATTGCCAAAGCACTGATGAAACAAGCAAAATGATCCAGGTACTTCATTGCTGGACCTGTGAGTTTGCAGTTCAGCTAACTTCTTACCAACTAGAACTTTTTGGTAGTGATGTTCTCTCGTCAGCATAGTTTATCAAACGTACCATATTTCCTGAGATTACTGAAAATAATATTAAGTTGCATTAATATAAAAAATAGCTGCTTGTGTCATTGTGGAGCTCTAATTTTGTGTTACTGTAATTATTATTCAGTGGTTTTCTTTAATGAACTTTGGCAGGGTGACAGGTGTATATATGGACATTGATGAACCACAAAAGAAGCGATAGGCCATGGTGCTCATGCAATTGCGGATTGAAATTTTGTATGGTTAGGGGAAATCATTAGTCTTGTCTCCTAATGAGGTGGGTACGACTAAAATGTTGCTGTGGGTTGCTACCACAAAGCTTAAGACTTGTGAAGTTGCAGTGGTGGTGAACATGCAGTAATCAAACAGACCGGAGTTCAGTTCCCCCTAATACTGGAAATTTGTGTTGAAATTTTGTATCAATTGAGCTTAGGAATTTCTCTTATCTATTTGCTGTAAACTTATCATTGTAACATGAGATTATTTTGTAGTTATCATGTGTTTCCTGTGCTATTAGAAATGCTCCTCAATAATTAGCCGACTTTCAGTCAAGTGTGAAGTGCGACAGCATGAGATGATGATGCATGTAGGATTCCCAATGTTTGTTCTGTTTATCCAAGCAGGTACTTGTGTTTGCCAAGTAAATCAGTGTTTGATACATCCACTGTTGAAAGTAAATCACAGTTCACGTCCCTCCAGAAGACAACTCAAGGGTCTTAATTTTGTCTAGGTAAAATATTTGAAACTGTTGAGTATTCCCAATCACGTGGATTTGGATTTGGGTTGTATCCCATTCCTATACAAGAAAGAACGACTAGCAGCAGTTGATAACATAATAAAGTTTCATTCGCAAAGTTGTGTCAAAAATTAGAATATCAGATATTTGCATCTACCACATGCAAATGCAAATGATAAGGCGGTTGCTTAGTCAACTAAAAGAAACGAATGATTGCATAAACAAGTGACATGGAAGCACTGAGCAAGCCAATAATCAATCAACTACACTAAAAAGAGCTGTCCTGTACCAACTCATAACAGCAAGAGCAGCACGACATAACAACATGCTTTCCCATTACCATTTACCAACAACCATAATAGTATTACGTTACAGAATACATAAATACATAAATATATATTCTTATTCTTCTTTCTAATTAAGGCCAGCTGGCTTCTACACCTAACATGGTAAAAAGCAGTAGCATTTCCCTATAAATGAAAAATTTCCCATTTCCTTTTAGGTTTTGAAGAAACTGAAATGGAAATCATTATTGGTTTTTGCTGTGGGCCCAAAAGGATTCTAAATAATGCTGGTCTCCAGGCTAGCAAAACCCTTGGGGAAAGAATCCCAACGGCTCTTCTGCAGGTGCTTCCAGATAAGTTACCGTTGGTCGTCCCTTTCTTTTGAATTTTTCAAAAATATAACACCATTGCTGCTCCTCCCTTTTTCTCTTCAAAAAACACTACAAATCAAAGGAAAAGAAAAGAAAACCTTAGAAGGCAAAATCCAGCTAAAACCAAAAGGTCGGTTTTGCTTCCTCTTTTCTGCACCTTCAAAGTCTTTTTCATTTTCTTCTTTGGGTTTTGTTTCAGCTTAATTGGTGTTTATAGCATCCATGGCTGTTGAGGTTAAAGTTGAGGAAACCCAGGGGGCTGAGGTTTCTGTTCCTCAAGAAGAGCCCAAGAAGGTGGTTGCACAAGAGAATAGGAAAGTTGATCACTGCGAAGCAAAGACTGTAGATGATTCCAAGCCCAACAAAGTTGAGAAAAGCTCTTCCTACAGGGAAGAGAGCAATTTCCTATCTGATCTCAAAGAGTTTGAGAAGAAGGCTTTGTGTGAACTGAAATCCAAGCTCGAAGCTGCCATTCTTGGGAATTGCTTGTTAAAGAAGGAAGATCCTGAAAAGAATGAGAAGCCAAGTGATGGGAATGAAGAGAAAGAAAAAGCAGTAGCTGACGAGAAAGAGGAGAAGGCAAAAGGAGAACAAGGCGAAAGGCCGGTGGCAGAAGAGGAATCAAAAACAGAAGGGGGTGAGGAGAAAACATCCCAAGAATGCGACGAGAAGAAATCTGATGAAATAGGCATAGAAATCAACAAAGATATCTCCCTTTGGGAAGTCCCTCTTTTGCCTAGCAAAGGCGGAGAGGCTACTGATGTAGTCTTGTTGAAGTTCTTGAGAGCTAGAGAGTTCAAGGTCAATGATGCCTTCCAGATGCTTAAAAATACCTTGCAATGGAGGAAGGATGGCAAGATTGATTCAATCTTGAACGAGGAGTTTGGGGCTGATCTAGGGTCCGCAGCTTACATGAATGGCATTGATAAGGAAGGCCATCCTGTCTGTTACAACATCTATGGTGTGTTTGATGATGAGAAGCTTTATAAGAAGACATTCGGGACGGAAGAGAAGCGTGGGCAGTTCTTGAGATGGAGGTTTCAGTTGATGGAGAAAGGTATTCAGAAGCTTGATTTGCGGCCTGGTGGTGTCACTTCTTTGCTTCAAATCAATGATCTGAAGAATTCTCCTGGGCCCTCGAGGAAAGAACTAAGGATTGCCATGAAGCATGCTGTCGGAGCCTTACAGGACAATTATCCTGAATTTGTTGCAAGGAATGTAAGTTGTTTTGAATTTATCAAAATTGCATGTTTGGTTAAGAGAATTAAGTATAATTCGTTTATGGCAAGTTTAAATTGTGCTTGATGTGGTCTTCTCTGGCAATTCTTGTTACAGATATTTATAAATGTTCCATTCTGGTACTATGCCCTCAATGCACTGTTATCACCTTTCCTAACACAAAGGTCTAAAAGCAAGTTTGTGGTGGCTCGCCCGGCCAAGGTCACTGAAACCCTTCTCAAGTAAGCGTTTCATATCTTTCATCCGTATCCAAAGCTATTAAGTGATGTTCTGCTAGAGACTGATAAGTTGTTATATCTTGATTCTTGAAGGTACATTCCTGCCGAGGAGGTCCCTGTACAGTACGGTGGCTTCAAGATGGAAAATGATTTTGAGTTCTATGCCCAAGACGCTTCTGTTTCAGAAATTATTGTTAAGGCTGGATCAACCGTGACCATTGAGATACATGCCGATGAGGTACTACTAATCTTCAATTCTATTTTGAGCCTCCATTTGTAGGTTCAGAATCGTTTCCTTAAATTATGCATTGTAAATTGATTTGATTTTGACAGGTTGGAACCACATCAATCTGGGAGCTGATAGTTTTGAGTTGGGAAGTAAATTATAAGGCCGAATTTGTGCCATCAGACGAGGGCTCCTACACCATCATCGTTCAGAAGAGCAAGAAGATAGGGTCACAGTCTCAGGAAGGGCCCATCCGCAACACCTTCAGGAACAATGAACCAGGGAAGCTGGTCCTCACTATTGAGAATAATTCCAGCAAGAAGAAGAGACTTCTTTACCGCTACAAGACCAAAAAGAGTTCATCTTTCTAAGACAAATTTCTTGAGAAATGTCACAAATCTTATATGCATTTTCTTCCTTTCTGTTGAGTTGGTTGTGAGTGGGAATGGATGTGGACATAGAGAAACTAGGTGACATTATTTGTTGTTAGATTTCTTTCTTACTAGTGTATTCTTTTCGGATAGTGAAACTAAAGCTTCATTCTTTATGCAGGATCAATGTGACCATGTTGTTTCATGTGTTTGTTTTGAAAGATTGGTACTTTTTGTTAATAAGAAAAACGTTCAGATTGAGAATTATTGCATTCCCTTTCTGTCATACTAAATATATTTTGCTTTCTTAGGCGCATATATTTATATATAAACATAAAAAAGGAGCTCAAAGAATTGTCTTTCTTACCTTAAATTTGAATATACTGAATAAGTACGCTCCATGGAATTTCGAAGAGCTTCTTGAAAGGATACGTTTCATCAATAATGCACCTTCACTTAAATCTATGGTTAATATTTGTTCAAATTATTTTTATTTGTTTAATTAATTTTTATTTATTTTCATATTCAATTTAATATAATTAAATTTCAATCATAAATTTAGGTGAAAATGCATTATTGACCCTTAAATAAAATAGTAAAAACTTCCACTATTTAAAAGTAGTGAAGATAATTAATTTCATCCGTCAAAATGTTATTTTCAATCTTACCCAATTCCATTGTCCATGCAGATAATTCGCCAAACAATTGATCACAATGCGATTAAGAGAAAACGGATCAAACCGCATCATAATAAGGTTTTGAACACAACCATTATGACACAATTTGGTTGCTTTTGGCCTAATCTTGTCCTAGGATATGGTTCGCACGACATTATCAACTAGATAAAGCATTGTGCTAGAGTGATAATGAAGGAACTTAAGATGTGTTTGGTACATAAGATTATGATAAAGAAAAAAGTTAATGGTGTAAACTCAACTGTTGTTATAAGTATATAGAATTTTAGACATAACCTTATGTTGTAATAAAGGAACTTAAGATGTGTTTGGTACAAAAGATCATGATAAGATATGATAAGATAATATTATGAATAGAATTAAATTAAATAATATCATCTTATTTTATGTTTGATATGTGCAAGTGTCATGGCCCGCATGGGCACAATTGAGGCCCAAGCACCATTGACAAGGGCTCAAGCCTTAGACTTGCAATAGGGGCATAAAATGCACAAGCAAGCATAAGAACCGCTCGTACAAGCTCACCAGACCAAGGTGCTTCTAGAAGGGCCTCAGATGGACCATACCTTGGTGCAAACAGACCAGGCCTCGGTGCGGGCGAACTAAGCCTTAGCAAACCCAACAGATTAAACTTTCTAAAAGGATTTAGAGGCTCCCAAGGATAGGATAGTTCCTTTTACAATTTGAACTCTTGATGTATAACTCATGTAATCTCTTTGTAATATTGTACTTTATAATAGCCATGAGATTAAGTTAATCTTGACCATTGATTCACGGGGGCTTCAACTATAAATAGAGGGCCTTTTCACCCTTATTTGATATACAGAAACACTTAAGTGAATACAAATTATAGTATTCCCAAGCATTTTTTGCTTTCTACCTTTTCTAACTTTAGAGTGCCTTTTATTGTTCTTTTGAGTGCTCACTCTTAAAGAGTGTTTTCAGGTTGACTTAGGCACACAAGGAGGGAGTCCAACCTAAGGCCACATGGAGCATTAGCATAAGCCCCAGGCCCATGGCAGTTGGTATCAGAGTAGGCATTGCTTTAAGGTCATATTCAGTTCACACTCAAGGTGTCTGAAGAAATGACATCTCAAAGTGATATTGGTAGGCAACAGCCAGAGGTCTAGAAGCCAGCTCATGGATGGAGAAAGAAGGCTAGCTTGAGGGACTTGATGTCAACCTTAGGTGGCTGCTTAGCTAAAGTGGAAGTGATAGTATTAGACTTTAAAGAAAAGTTTAAGGATACTAAAGAAAAGATCAAAGAAGGATTCCATGGTGCCCTCAACGAAACCATTGACATGTTCACCCAAAAGAATGAAGCCTTGAAGCCATGTTGGAGGTGATGCCTAAGGAGATGTAAAAGTTCAAAAGGGAGTTCATAGCATGCAAGGTAACCATTGGTAATGGTGTGTTAGTTGTAACAACTAAGGCTCAAGTGAAAGTTCTCAAGCCAAGGAAATACATAGGAGCTAAGTCTATAAAAGATGTGGGCAACTTTCTATGAGGAACGGAGCAATACTTTCGAGCCATGGGTATTGATAAGGATGCCATTAAGGTAAGCACAGCTTTTGTGTATTTGGTTGACATTGCACTATTATGGTGGAGGCTAAGCGTAATGATACAAGCCATGAAGATGTTGTTGTCTGGACTTGAGAGTAGTTCAAAATAGAGTTTAAGCAGCACTTCTATCTTGAGTATGCTAATGATGAGGCAAAAGCGAATATTCGTAGACTCAATCAAAGAAACAAGGTGTGGGAGTATATTCAAGAGTTTTCAGAATTGATGTTTCAGATTTCAAACCTTAAAAAAAATAAAGTCTGTTTTGTTTCATAGATGGACTGAAACCACGGGCCAAGAATAAGTTGTAATAAAAGGGTGTCAAAGAACTGACCAAAGTCATGACAACTGTTAAATCCTTGGTAGAGATCTAATCACAAAATAAGTTTGAGTCATTCAAGCCAAAAGGTAATGTTAGAAATCGACAATCCAAGGAGGGAAATAAAGAAAGACAATCCAAGGATAGGGACAAAAGTTAATAGACCAAGAAAGGTCAAGGCAAGCCACCAAATGGGAAGTGGAAGCCAAGGCAGTGGAATAATAAAGATCGTGAGCCATTGAGTTGTTATGTTTGTAAAAGTTTGCACTTGTCTAAAGACTACCCCAAGAAAATCAAGCTATCTACCATCAACAAGGAGGGTGGTGAGGGGTCAAAGAAAGAAACCATAAAGCTTGGCTTGATTATGCTGAAATAGTTCAAGCCAAAGGATGCTGCAAGTAAAAAGGACTAATATTTGTAGATATGATGATCGTGGGCAAGAAATAGAATACACTTATGAACATAAGAGTATTTCACTTTTTTATATCTAGAGATGTAACCTAAAAGCTGAATCTGAAAGTGTAGAAAGGGACTGGTATGATCAAAACAATCAACTTCAAGAAGGTCCCAATAATTGGCATAGCACATAGAGTGGAGCTATAAATTGGTAAGTGAAAATGCAAAGAATCAGTTGAGGTAATTCTTTTAGATGATTATGATCTTATTGTTGTTTAGACTTTTTTTTTACTATATTAGTGCACTTGTTGTATTTTTTGCTAATTGTATTTATATATTGGACCGTCGATTCCCATGTATTGTACCAGTAAGATAAGAATCAGAGTTAGAGACTAAGATGTTATCTGCCATACAATTGGCCAAGGGAGTGAATAGGAACGAAGACACTTTTCTTACAATTTTGACGAGGGAAGAGTCAAAGTAGAATAATATTGACACCCTTTCGAAAGTGCTAGAGGTGTTAGAGTCATTTAGAGACATGATGCCTGTTGAATTATGTAAAAGGCTATCATAAAAAATAGAGGTGGATCACAGAATTGAGCCAATATTGAATGCTTTCCCACCAGCTAGAGCCCTATATCAGATGTCACCTTCAGAGTTGAGAGAGTTGCAAAGATAGCTCAAGGAGCTTATTGATGCAGGCTACATCAAACCATCAAAAGCCCTATTTGGTGTCCCAATGTTGTTCCAATAAAAGCATGATAGGTCTTTGTGACTATGCATAGATTATAAGGCACTAAACAATCTGAAAATAAAGAATAAGTACCTAATCCCACTTATTGTAGATTTGTTTAACCAGTTTGAAGATGCTAGGTGGTTCACCAAGCTAGACTTGTAATCAGGGTACTACCAAGTTAGAATTGTTGAGGACGACGAGCCCAAGACAGCTTATGTTACTCACTATGGATCTTATGAGTTCTTGGTAATGCCTTTTGGCTTGACTAATGGGCATGTAACATTTTGCACCTTAATGAATAGGGTATTATAGTTATTCTTAAATCGTTTTGTTGTGGTTTATCTTAACGATATTATGATTTACAATTGTTCATTGGAGGAGCACATGGAGCATTTTAGGTAAATATTCCAGGTATTATGGGAAAATAAATTATTTGTGAAAAAGAAAAAAATATTCATTTACTTAGAGAGATATGTCATTTTTAGGCCACATTGTTGAAGGTGGCAAGATCCGAATGGATAGAAGCAAAGTCCAGGCCATACTAGATTGAGAGTCATCAACCAAGGTTATAGAGCTGAGATCATTATTTGGGTTGGTGAACTACTACAGGTGTTTCATTAAAGGCCATTTTACCATCACTACACCATTGATAGATATGCTCAAGAAAGGGAGAGTGTGGGATTAGAGTTAGGAATACCAGCAAACTTTTGATTAACTGAAGCATGTAGTGATTGAAGAGCTTGTTCTTGTTTTGCCATATCACACTAAGTCGTATAAGGTGCATATAGATGCATTAGACTTTGCTATTAGAAGGGTGCTAATGCAAAACAACTATTCGGTTATCTTTAAGAGCTAAAAGCTCAATGAGATCGAGCATAAATATAAGGTTTAAGAAAAGAAGATGACAGTAATGGTGCACTATTTACACACATGAAGACATTACCTATTAGGATCTAGATTTGTGGTTAGAATCAATAATGTTGTGCCAAGCTACTTGCAGACTCAAAAAAAGCTATCTCTTAAGTAGGCTAGATGGCAAGATTTCTTTATAGAGTTTGATTTTAGCATGGAGTACAAGCTTGAAAAGGCTAACTTATTGGCTGATGCAGTCAGTAGGAAGACGATGATTGTTACCATCAGCCGACCTAAAAGTTCTTTGGTATTGCACATTAAAGAGTGACTGGCCCATGATCCTACAGCTAAGATGCTTATGGAGTATACCCAATAAGGTAAAACTAGACATTTTTGATTACATGATAACTTACTTTTCACCAGAAGGAATAAGATATTTATGTTGCATCATGGGAAACTCCGCAGGAAAGTTATGTAGGAATGCCATGACTCTAGGTGGGCTAGCTACCCTAGAGTGCACTGCACCTTAGCACTGATGTAGGATATATATTACTGGCCTTATATGCAGGATGAAAAAACTTGTCTTCCAACAGGACAAGGTGGAGCAAAAGTTCTCAATCGGTTTATTGGAGCCATTACCTATACCAGAATGCCTATAAGAAAGCATTTCATTGGATTTTATAGTCAAACTACCCAAA